CTTTCTTTCTTTCTTTCTTTCTTTCTTTCTTTCTTTCTTTCTTTCTTTCTTTTCTTTCTTTCTTCTTTCTTTTTCTTTCTTCTCTCTTTCTCTTGTGTGTGAGTTCTTTCTATATTCTGGATATTAACCCATTATTAAATATATCATTTGCAAGTATTTGCTCCAATTCTGTAGGTTGCTTTTTTACTCTGTTGATTGTGTCCTTTGATGCACTTAAGTTTTTAATTTTGATGCAATCCAATTTATCTATTTTCACTTTTGTTGCTTGTGCTTTTTGTTTCATATTTAAGAAATAATTGCCAAATCCAATATCATGTAGCTTTCCTACTGTGTTTTCACCTAAGAGTTTTATAGTTATAGTTTTAGCTCTTACATTTAGGTCTTTGATCCATTTTGAGTTAATGTTTGTATATGGTGTAAGGTAAGGGTCCAATTTTATTCTTTCATATGTAGACATCTAGTTTTCCCGACACCATTTTTTGGTCCTCCATTGTTAGCCACTTTTAAATGTACCATTCAGTGGCATTAAGAACATTCATGTTGCTGGGCAACCATCACCATTATCCATCTCCAGAACTTTTCATCATGCCATACTGGAACTCTGTACCCAATAAACAATGGCTCCCTCTCTCTGGCCCCTGGAAACCACTGTCGTACTTTCTTCCTCCATGAATTTGTCCCAGTCTTTGTTCTTGAGGACTGTGCTCTACATCGGAAATTGTAACAGTGCAGAGCAGGGACACTTAGCTCTGGACTGGTGGGGTGTCGGTAGGAGGATGACAAGTGTAAGAAGAGGCTGTTGAAGGAGGGGTGCCCAAGCTGGGCAATTTGACATTTGGGGTGACAGATCCAAACCATATCATACCTTATATCCATGGATGTGTGTGATTAATTCTTACATGGGTGTAAACATGCCCATGTGCCCTGATTCAGACGTGAAATCTTACCAGCACCCCGAGACCCTTTCTAATGACTTCTGACACCCTTCCCCCAAAGGTAACCACTATTTTGACTTCTAATAAAATAGACAACCTTTGCCTTGTGTTTCTCATATAAAGGAATCCTACAGAATATACTCTTCCGTGTCTGACTTCTTTGGTTCAACATTCCTCCTTTTTTTCTGGGCCAATTCTTATCTTGCTTGAACATCAGAAAATGGTCATTGTGCTAGTCCTCATCCCAGCCGAGATGATGGAGCGGAACTGGCTACACAAATATAATGTGGTGTCACAATTCGCAATAAACTGCAGGACAAGAAGTGTCTCTGACCTGGCCCTGCGGGGCTGCTGCTGGAAAATGGATGGTGCCCATTGAGGGGTCTAATGGAGGAGGGACAGTGTTTGCCCTGTGCTATTCTTCTAATATTTCAAGGAGAGTGAAGCTTGGAATTGGTAAGCATTCCCAGAAGGGCCACAAATTGCA